TCAATCCTGAACATCTATGATCCAAATACAAAGCCACCAACATTCAATAAAGAAACATTACTAAAGCTCAATTCACACACAAACCACACACACACTTATAATAGGAGACTTCAACACCCTGCTCTCACTGCTAGATAGGACCACCAGACAGAAACTTAGCAAAGAAACAAAAGAAGTAACAGAAGTTTTATAACCCAATTCGGTTTAACAGATATGTATAGAACATTCCATCCAAACAAAAAAGGATATACCTTCTTTACCACACCACATGGAAAATTCCTTAAAATTGACCAGATACTCTGCAAAGTAGCAAACCTACACAGATAACAAAAAAATCGGGATAAGCTCCTGTTTCTTATCAGACCTCCATATTTAAAGCTGAAATTCAACAACTACACAAATTGCAGAAACCCTACAATCTCATGGAAATTGGACAACACACAATTGCACCATTCCAGGGTCAAGGAAGAATTAAAATATATTAAAGACATCCTAGAATTTAATGAGAATGACTACACAACATACCCAAACCTATGAGACACTTAGAAAGCAATGCTAAGAGGAAAGTTCATAGCACTAAGTGCCCACATGAATGAACTGGAAAATAGTCACACTAGAGAATTAACAGCACAAGTGAAAGCTCTAGTACAAAAGGAAGCAAACTCTGCCCCGAGGAGTAGACGAGAGGAAATAATTAGAGGGCTGATAGCAATAAAGTAGAAACTAGGAAAACACTAAAAAGACTCAATGAAACAAAGAATAGGTTCTTTGAGAAAATCAACAAGATAGACAAAACTTTATCCAAAGAACCAAAAGGCAGAGAGAGAGCGCATGCTAATTAACAAAATTAGAAATGAAAAGGGGGATATAACAACTGACACTGAGGAAATCCAGAGAATCATGAGGTCATACTTTGAAAAACAGTACTCCAAAAAATTTGAAAATCTAAATGAAATGGACAATTTTTTGGATAGATATAACTTACCAAAACTAAATCAAGAACAGGTAAGCAATTTAAACATACCTATAACACCTAATGAAATAAAAGCAGTCCTCAAACATGCCCAAATATCTACCATGAAAAAAAAAGCCCAGGGCCAGATGCTTTCAGTGCAGAATTCTAGCAGAAATTCAAAGATTTTATATCAGTACTCTTCAAATTGTTCCATACTATAGCAGCAGAAGGGACATTGCTAAGCTCTTTCTATGAGGCTACAATTACTTTGGTACACAAGACACACAAAAACACAATGAAAAAAGAGAATTATAAACCAATATCCCTCATGAACATCGATGTAAAAATATTCAACAAAATACTGGCAAATAGAATCCAAAAGAACATCAGAGAAATCATCCACCATGAGCAAGTTGGCTTTACCCCAGGATTGCAGGGATGGCTCAACACATGAAAATGCATCAATGTAATCCACGATATAAATCAACTGAAAAAGAAAAACCACATGATCATCTCACTAGATGCTGAAAAAGCCTTTGACAAAATCCAACATCCCTTCATGATAAAGATCATGGGGAAAACAGATCCAAACATGATAAACGCAATATACACTAAACTAATAGCCAACATCAAACTAAATGGAGAGAAACTCAAAGCATTTCCTCCAAAATCAGGAACAAGACTCTCTCCATCTCTCTTCAATATTGTACTTGAAGTTCTAGCTAGAGTAATAAGGCAAGAAAAGGGGATCAAAGGGATACAAATAGGAAAGGAAGAAGTCAAACGTTCACTATTTGCAGATGGCATGATAGTCTACATTAGTGACCCAAAAAACTCTACCAGGGAACTCTTACAGCTGATAAACACCTTCAGCAAGGTAGCAGGATACAAAATTAACTCAAAAAAAATCTGGAGCCCTATTATATACAGATGATAATTCCAATGAGAAAGAAATCAGGGAAAGATGACCTTTCACATTATCCACAAGCAACATAAAATATCCTGGGCTTAACACTAAACAAAAAAGTGATATACCTGTACAATAAGAAGTTTGAGATTTTAAAAAAGAAATTAAAGAAATGGAAATGTCTCCCATGCTCTTTTTTAGGTAGAATCAACATAGTAAAAATGGCAATCCTGCCAAAAGCAATATACAGATTCAAAGCAATCCCCATCAAAATCCCAACACATTTTTCACAGACATTGAAATAACAATACTCAACTTTATATGGAAAAATAAAAAACCCAGGATAGCCAAAACAACTCTTTACAATAAAAGATCTTCTGGACGCATCACCTTCCTTGACTTCAAGCTCAACTATAGAGCCATAGTTCTGAAAACTGCTTGGTATTGGCACAAAAATAGACAGATAGATCAATTAAATCGGATTGAAAACACTGATATTAACCCACACACCTATGAATATCTTATTTTTGACAAAGATGCTAAATCTATGTAATGGAAAAAAGATAGCTTCTTCAACAAATGGTGCTGGCACAATTAGATTCAGACATGCAGAAGATTGCAGATAGATCCATAACTGCCACCATGCACAAAACTTAAGTGCAAATGAATCAAAGATCTCACCATAAATCCAGCCACACTGAGTCTTCTAGAAGAGAAAGTGGGAGTTACCCTTGAACAAATTGGCACAGGAGACTCCTACCTGAACATTATGCCAGTAGCACAGACATTGGGGTCTGCAATAATAAATGGGATCTCCTGAAACTGAGAAGCTTCTGCAAGGCAAAGGACAAAGTCAGTAAGACAAAACAACCAATCACAGAATGGGAAAAGATCTTCACAGACCCCACATCTGACAGAGGGCTTATTTCTAAAATATACAAGGATCTCAAGAAGCTAGCCACCAAAACACCAAACAATGAAATTAAAAAGTGGGGTGCAGAACTAAATAGAGAATTCTCAACAGAGGAATCTGAAATGGCTGAAAGACACTTAAGAAAGTGCTCAAAATCCTTGGCCATCAGAGAAACGCAACTCAAAAACAATTATGAGATACTACCTCACACCTGTCAGAGTGGCTAAAATAAAAAATACCAATGACAATCTATGCTGGAGAGGATGTGAAGTTAAAGGAACACTCCTCCATTGCTGGTGGGAGTGCGAACTTGTAAGACCATTCCGGAAATCAGTATGGTGATTGTTCAGAAAAATGGGAATCAGTCTACCTCAAGATCCAGCCATTCCTCTCTTGGGAATATACCCCAATAGTGCATGTTCATACAACAAGGACATATGTACACCCATGTTCATAGCAGCATTGTTTGTAATAGCCAGAAAATGGAAGCAACCTAGATGCCCCTCAACTGAAGAATGACTAGAGAAAATGTGGTATATTTATACACTGGAGTACTACTCAGCAGTAAAAATCAATGGAATCTTGAAATTCGAAGGCAAATGGAAGGAACTAGAGGAAACCATTCTGCGTGAGGTAACCCAGTCACAAAAAGACAACCATGGTATATACTCACTCATATATGAGTTTTAGAGATAGAGCAAAGGATTATCAGCCTATAATCATCTTCACCAAAGAAATTAGGAACCATGAAGGACTCTAAGGGATAAATGGACCCCAGCAATGGGAAGTGGGAATATCTCCTGAGCTAATTTGGAGCATGAGGGTAGGGGAAAGGGAGCTGCCACAATAAGAGCAGGAGAAGAGGAGTAGAGGATAGGAAATGGAGGAAGAGAAATATTGAGTTGGGGGAAGAATACAGGAGAGAGAGAAGGATGAGAGATACCATAGTAGAGGCAGCCACTATAGGTACCAGAACAGATCTGGAACTAGGGAGATCTGCAGAAACCTACAAGGATGACACCATCTGACAATCCAGGCAATGGTGGAAAGGATAACCTAAAAGCCCTTCCCCTAAAATGAGATTGATGACTTCTCTTTTCCATCTTAGAGCCCTCATCCAGTGGCTGATGGAAGCAGAGATAGATATCCAAAGATATACACTGAGCTGAATTCTGGAATTTAGTTGAAGAGGAGGAATGAAGATCAATGGGGTCTGTATCAGGTTGGAGAAACCCACAGAAAAAGTTGGCCTGAACCAGGGAGAGCACATCGACCCCAGATGCTATATGGGATGCCAGTACAATATTGATCCAGACTACTGAACATGGATGTCAATAAGGAGACCTCTGCAATCCAGGGAGCCTCTGGTAATGGATTAGTATTTTTTCCTGGTGTAAGAAGGGACTTTTACAGGCCATCACACGTGAAGGGATACACTCTGGCCCTGGACACATGGGAAAGGGCCCAGGCCCAGCAAAAGATTTGGTGGACTTCTCAGAGACCCCGTTGAGGGCACTACCCTGCCTGGGGAGTGGTGTGTGGATGGGGTGTGGGGTAGGTTAGGGGTGGGGAAGAGATGGGGGTGAAGGGAGGGAGAAGAAGGGACTTACCTGTGAAACAAGCTTGTTCTCTAACTTGAACAAATAAAAATAAATAAAAAACTAAAAAATAAACACAAAAAGCAAATTCAGATAAGCTGTTATCTCTATACCACTTTAGATCAGATCACACTGGAAATGTCTGGCCATTTGCAAATTTCACAAACATAAAGGTTTGCCTAGTGTACAATATAGAAATCCTATTCCATGAAATAGCACACACTGTCTACAGAGTCAAACTTATGAGGTCAAGCTCTGTCATGGATACAGAGACTTACCTCATTATACACAGGATGTGTTTTCTTTTGTGTGGTGAGGTGTTATCTTCCTGATAAAATGCTTTTATCCCATTTTGGTTTTGTTTTTGCAAAACAGATTTCACTAGTATTTTTTCCTGTTACTGCTGGTGGGCAATATCTGAACACATGATCATGACATTCTGAGTTGGGATGTGAAAACATTTAAAGAAAGGAATACCTTAGACAGATTGAAGAATAAGCAATTTAGACGGACCCCATAAAAACCTTTGATGTTTTATTTTGAATGAGTTTATGACTACACAAGTTTTGTGCATGAATTTCTTGAAGGGACCTTCTGATTGACGTTGCAAATGATGGAGCCCTCCCTTCAGGCCACTGGATTGTCACTTATGTAAGTACGTTGGGTCTTTAACTGACTCTGGAGTTTCAATGAGCATACTTCAGTGAGAATCATGGTCAGTCCAAAGAATGACATGGCAGCTGTGAAGATCCCTAATGGGAAGATGACCGTAAAGTGTTTGCTTATCATGTCTTCCTTTTTAACAGGAAAGCCAGGTGGAAAGTCAAGTGTGGTTTGGCCATAAAGATCTATCATGCAGTTACAGCTCACAGAAAAAAATGTGAAGAAGCTGCTAAAGAACAAAAATAAGCCAGAGACCTTGTAGCAATAAATCTGCATTTCGATAAATGGGTCTCTCATGTAGCTGATCATAATAGCCATTAGAGTGAACACTAGATCTACAGGCTTTATCAAAATGGCCCATGTTATCAGATTCTGTGCATAATGATATTCAGGTGAGATGATCCAGGTGGAATCGATAGGAGTATGCACCAGCATCTGAACTATAGTCCCTGAAACATTGAACTCTCGAGGGTAATGAGCTTCCCAGAGTCCAAAGTACACAAACTGCACATCAGTGTTGTCAAATTCCCACAGGCGCCAGTTTTGGCTGTTCACAATGACTATTTCAAACACCAGCACTGTTAGGCTGGTAAGGAGGCCAGTTAGCTTGAAGATGCGCTTCTTCCTATTCGTATATCTGAAGACGAGATTGAAAAAATATGTAGTCAAACCAGAAACACAGGGGAGGATTTGAAATCAGAATAAGTCATGGTTTACAGAGCACACATAATTTTATTTAACTAATCAATCTATGTATTAGTATAACTAACCAGGGATTCACCCTTCAGTCTGCACCATGGTATGCAAAACAAACCACAAATGTGGTTATGGCTAGACTTTTCTCTCTAAGGGATAAAAAGGAAACATATGCCTTCTGTGCTTTACTCTAGTTCTCTTTCACTTCCTCTTGATAAATTCCTCTCTGAAAATCCATCTTGCTCCTCTAAATAACTCTACTCAATTTGCTACTTAGCTCTACACCATTCTCCTTGTTCTAACTTGCAGCTTCTGTCTAACTATGAACAGTCTCCACATCTCTAGCTCTATAGGCTTTCTCCCACCTCCTTCTTCCTCTTTCTACTCAGCCTCTCTCTGATCAAAAGTTCTGGACACTTATATGTTCAGGGCCTAACCCACACTCATAACACAAGAAAAGTCACATAGCTTCTCTTAGGTTAAGGAGCTCACATAGATAAGTCTGTGAGTAACACTTGGTCATGCACATAGACTAGATGGTTATGGTTCTCAGACAGAATATAAGCAGTAGGCTAAACCTTGATTCTGTAACATAAACTGGGCCTGGGATTACCTGCAAAAATACAATTTCTGTAGAGGATTATGTCTACTATTCTTGCATCTAGCCTGACCATGAATCACCAAAAAACAACATCTGGGAAAATGGACTCATGTATTTATTTCTAGGGGCAACCAGATATTCATCTCCAGGGATCATCAGTTTGCTTTTAATATCTTCTGATGTCTCAATTTTCTGTCTTTGTGACTGAGAATCCTATTAATTTCCTATGTCAGTCTGAATAATGAAAAATATCTGAGTGTTATTTCTATTCTTCAGATTAATACTTTTAAGCAGAAATCATCTTCCTGATAATCCATAGCTATACATGTGCTCAGTAGATGGAATATTTACATGAGATAAACACGCAAGCAGTGGGACAACACCAATAGCATTTGTTAGGGAGGAAGCACAATTCTTAGGGAAGAAATCAAGTGGCACATGAGACAAATTACAGACAGGACCAACTGGTTTCCACAGCCAGTAGTCCCATAGACTTTGCCTAGTGGAGCTTCCGAACAGGGTAGTCATTCATCTGGTGGGTCCACTTGCTGAATACTATTTGTCAGCAAGCTGTATGCTCTCATGACCCTCTGCATATTAGGGTTCACCATACTACAGACAATAATATATGAAGCACTGAGCTTCATGACTATAGGAGGATTTTTTTAGGCAATTTAACTGGATTTCTCTATTGCTTCAATGTGTGGATTTGTTAACTAAGAACTTTACTGCTTGGAATTAACAGTGAAAAATAGTGTGCAATATGCATATTTAAGTTGTATGTACAAAAAAACTATTGACTAAAATTGTAGTTATAAGAAAAAATGCTCAAATGTAATTTCTAAAATATGATAGTTGACTATTACATGAGTATAACAAATTATTTCTGCTGACCAATGAAGGAATTTGAAAATGATCCATATGTTTTTCTGATTCATATCTAAATCTATATATGAATACTTTATACCTATCTGTATATACACATGCATTTACACATAAATAGACATACACTCAGTCATGCACACATGCACACATGCACACACACAGATGGTAACTAAAAAGATACCCCTAAAATCAGAAAGGATATGGGATAGGTAGGGTTTTTTGTGTGTGTGTGGTAGGATCAGACAGGAGGTACAAGGGAACTGGGATTGTCATGTGTATCAATCTTGTTTCTAATTCAAATAAAATAATAACAGCAATAAAAAGAAGACAAAAACAAAAAAGAAGGAAAATATTTTTAAACAATCTGTATGTTGTATGTGATGATCTAGGTTCACTTAAATACAGATACCCCTAAAAAGAGTTGTAGGTGTATGTACCTAGCAGTGTAGAGTGCCTTTTTTGTGCAATTTTCTGAAATGTGTAGTTAAAATATCTGTACATATTTTATAAATAAAGCCACAGAGAGCATAACTTCAAAATATATCTTCATCAGATCTATGTATAAAAATCAGTAGCATAGCTGGAAGTTGGTGGCGCATGGCTTTCATCCCAGCACTTGTGAGGCAGAGGCAGGCAGATCTCTGTGAGTTCGACGCCACCCTGGACTCTAGAGCGAGTGCCATGATAGGCTACAAAGCTACACAGAGGAACCCTGTCTCAAAAAACTAAAAACTAAAAATAAAAATCAGTAGCATTATGTTTGTTGAACACCTTGGGGTCCCTGATTCTATCCCTTTGTGCGAAAAATAAAAATCCATGTATAAACTCAAGTATTTATGGACATTTCCATCATTTATCCAGAATTTACTGAGACGTTAATTTTCTGAAAACCTACTTCATATGAATTTGGTATGTAATATATCCTGACTGTATGTGTGAATAACTATGTTCTTTATCACAAAAGTAGGACTCTTTGGATGTGATGTTAATGCTCATGAAGAACTATGCTCTGAGATATGCCAAAGATTTGCATAAAACCCAGCTGAAACCCTCTCTCACACAAGGTAGATTTGTGGCAGTGAACTGAAGGTGTAGTGCCCTTTGAAGCACAATTGGAATTATCAGGGAATATTCTGTTTTTAACAGAAAATTGAGTTAGACTCACATGATCTGGTTCTATCCCTGTAAGAATCCCATGGAATAGATACCTGTGTTTCAGAGAGATCCAATTTATAACCCTCCACGTAACTCATTTTTTAGATTTTACCTTTGTATATCATGGGTCGTGGTGTGACCCATTTGAAAGATGCCAAGATGATAAATATCTTCCAAACAACAGGAACTGTTGACCAGACAGGGAGTCACATAAGAAGTGAATGACCTTCAGTAAAAAAAAGAGGTGGTACACAATTTCAGCATACAACTTTGTCTCTCAAAAGAACCCCTGGTTCACACAAACTTATCCTTTCTTCTCCTCTGCTTTGCTTCATTGGACCCTCATTTATACACTTCAGGTATATCAGCCTTTCTAAAATTACCATCTCTCCAATGAGGTCCACATAAACATTGCCCAAATTTATAGATAGAATAGCAACACAGAGAGTCTAATAAACATGCTCACTTTCAGGAATACACAAAAGGAAATAGGTGAGTGCTTGCATCAGAGCCCTCACAGACGCCCACAGATTCCCAGAAGTGATAATGTTCAGCAGGGTTTACTCACAAACCAATCATGCCATACAATAGATTAATCATAAGTCCTTGACATCCTTGTCCTTCTTTGTCCTGTGCAAAGAAGGAGATTCATAAAAACTACAAGAAAACATAATATACTTGCCTCTGTCTTTTCTATGACCTCCTAATATTAGTGGTAGCCAGTGTAAGATAAGTGACTCTAGAAATTCTCCTGTTTCCATGGCCACCAGGGTGAATGGCAGATTATGAGCTATGAACAAGTGTCATGACATATAGCTTTAAAGGGCCAGTAATTAATATCCCTCTCATATCTCGATCTTTAAAGGAATAATTAATTTACTTATTATAATATTAAAAGTTTCCTCATACACTATAATTGGACAGGAATATGAAGTAAAAGATTTGATTTTCCCCATTGCCATCATATTGTAATCCTTCTCTAGCTGCATACTCACCCAAATTCTTGTGTCATTGCTCATGACCCCCGCTTTGTGAAAAATCTTATCACTAACAAATGTCTACTGAGACAAAAATGCAGAAACAGAACAGTAAGAAACAGTCTCTCTAGAGTGAGGAAAACAAAGTGATCCCTCTTGTGTTGACTAACTTTTCTTGGTCTTGAGACTTGGCCTATAATGTAGTGGATAATCTAGTGATACTACACTGAAATAAATACTAACTTTTGTCTTCCCTGAAGGTATCAGTTTCAAAGAGTTTCTTGGTTCCTTATAAGCCTTTATTACAATACCCTGTTATATTTCTGGCATATTATCTGGTTTGAAATTGTGAAGGTCTTGTGTATGTGTTGTTAAATCTCTGAGTTCTCATGTTGCATTAGTGATACATTTTCTGGAAGATCATTTTTCTTCTGAATGATCCACCACCTCAGGTCCACATTCTCTTCTATGTATATTCTTATGCACAAAGGGCAGGGGGTATATGAAGAGATCTCTTTTAGGACTGAGTCTCTCATATTCTGCACATTTTCCATTTGTGTGTCCTTTCACTTATTGTCATCTATTCGAAGAACAAGTTTCCATGATGTGGTTAAGTGGGGCAATGAGCCCTGAGTATAAAAATGTTTCTTTAGGATTCCTTTTTTTCAGTGTTCATTTATGTGTATAGTATGTTTCTGCTTGGCCTGTGGATTATGCAATACCCAGTGCATTTACATGTCATTGTTTCATGTATGGTTTCCACCTTTCAGGGTAGAAAGAGAATGCAATAAACTGTGCCTGATTACTCAAAAAAATTGTGATATGTAATACTAGTATAACTTATAGACAAGTTGTGTTTCTCCTCTGATTTTGGAGTCTTTTAAAGCACCATGACAACCAGCCCGTTGAGGTAACAAAGAGCCAAAGAGAAATACTGAGTTAATTCTAATGACAACAGGTGCTAGCATGACTAATGGGCAAGGGGAACACTCATTCATTGAAGATGGCATTGCAATGTTATACAGGCACTGTGGATATCAGTGCGCCTGCTCTCAGAAGGATCTGTGTACATCTCTCTCAATATCAGATTATTCCAGTCTTGGGCATATACACAAGGGACTCTAACTGGTACCATATAGATGTTTGCTTAAACATGTTCATCTCTGTTTGTTTAAAATATCAAGAGATTGGAAACAAACTGGATGTCCATCCCATGTTACATGGCTAATGAAATCTAGGTACACTTATAAAATGGAATATTATTCAGCTATTAAAAATGTAATCATGGTATTCATAGAACACTGGATGGAATTAGAAAACAATGATCCTGTGTGAGGTAA